CACTGCGTTTTGCGTAATTTATGGTATGTCTTAATTCAAATGTCAAATTTTACTGGGAGAAAGACGTGATCATTGTGATCAGCGATAGTTTTGTTGTTGTATGATCGAATCACCAATGCTCGTTCTGAAACATTATCGATGAACCGAGAATCGCTGAGAATGTTTTGGAAAATACGCAAACGTCAAAGTGAATTTTCACCTTTATTACATAGTGTTTATAAAATCACGTCACATGTCTATGTCGGTTATGTTTCGTCCATAAAATCAATTGTATAATTCAACACCATCTTCCTTACATGAATCCCTGAATTCCTCATACAGTTCAAAATAAACTGACAAATGGACTCTCTCACCAATACAAAGACGAAGTGTTCCAGTGAAATCTAACGAAATATATCAAGGATATAAGATGCCGCGCTGTGAAAGAATACTTGTTTGAAATGTATACAAAGCCAGTCTCAGATTTTACACTGTGTATCCGTTCGCCTACTTGTTGCATACAATTGCTCATTAGTTTTAGAACATGCGTGGGAAAGGTATCGTAGCAAGCGATAGTTAAATAAAATAGGCGTATTCCAATGATTTCCTAGATTCGTCACAACATACATGTATAGTTTTTGAAAGCATGACGCCATAACTGACGCAAACTCACGCACAACGATGACGGTACTTCTCTTAATTTATGACTGTTTCCCTTGGTCACAATAAAACAAAAAGAAAATAACAAACAGCAGACTGACAGAATTTTCGGACTACTTACATGTCACAATTGCTTGAAACAACGAAAATTTCCTTCGAAAACTCCGGCGTACTCATGTCAGTGAACACGCCATTTTGAAAAAGTCGCTTCCCGATAGTGATGTCATACGGACGTCAACATTGTTATACATATTTGGTATTTTCATTGAGGCGAGTTTATGAATGAAAATACACACGATCAATCCGTCCTGCTGCTTACATTTTCTGTTCTTATGCTTCTTCGTATTTTCACAAACTTTTTTTTACGTGATTAATATCAGTATTGTTATCTTTTGATTTGGGACTAGACAGGAGACCAGTTTAAAATCAGGTGGCACCAATTACGGCATAATCAAAGGGCGGTAACTCTGGCCTGTTTAGCTCGGCAAACAAATACCTCATATTGGCATAACATTTCAGCACTTATTTTGAGGGTTATACTTACATTGTAAGAAAAATGAGTGTATATTTTCAAACATTGGTATTAACTAATTAAAACAGTTCACTTTGATTCACATAAGAATAAATGTGATTTATTCGTGTACACTTCCCCTTTAACAGCCAGTGTTATTTTGATTATTGTATTATATTGTACTATGATTTGCTGTGAATAAAAAACATGAAAGAAGAACAATTTGTTTATTTTAATGCAAAAAGCCATGTTGTCTACATGTGCTATTAATCAAATTAAAGGAAAACTAGGGGAGATTCCATTTATATCTGAAGGGGGTAAACTTATTACGCGTGCATAAATAACAGTCACCAGACCATGAATTGTTGTTTTAAGACTGTAGGCGAAATGGGAACATGCCCAATACGTCCTATGTACATTCTCGGGTTTCCGTTTTGCATTTGTTTCAGGATTGGACCGGGGGACATCCTGTTGTAAATGCTTGAACGGTATGATTAACTTAACGGTATGAGGTGAACTTATTACCACAAGTAGACTCTCCTTCAAAACGGTTGATATTCAGACGCGGATGCAAATATCAAACACAGTGGTATTCATAGTTGTTAGACAGTCGGCATATCTCGGAAATCACTATGTCCGTGTGTTGCATGCATGGTCACACGAGCTCCGCCTACTCATGAATTTAAGGACACGTAGGCCCACTTTAGGCTCTATATAGATGGTATTGATGTGCATCATCTAATGCACGTGTCCATTGCCGTGCTTCTCTTTCCCTAGTCAGCAGCCTTCACTTAAGGTAAGATATAGCTACATTATACGTACAGTACTCTCCGATCTATTGATCACAGTCGAGGTTGTTTAAACGTGGATTTGAAAATGTGTTTAGATCCTTAACACACACCTTTGCAAGCTCCTTGTCACGTTTTGACACGTTTAAAGATGTTGTTTCTATCGTAGTAACTAGGCATACTGTTATTATCAGCCTCCGGTATGATATAATTACTATATATAACATAGCACTGTTAAGTGTAATATATTACGTCTCATTTTAAGCGATTTGCATATAGCTGATATTTTGGTTTTGTAAAAACCCAAAGTATCATGAAATAATTCAATATTATACTTATATTATATTATTATTATCCAACGACCTTATAACTGAATATAAGAAAGGGAACGTCTAATATATATGTTTGAGATTGTGTAGCTATACTTCCCACGGGCTGTAGGAAGTCGGTTCCGTGTCATATGTCAAATATGTCATGCCCATGTCCTGCTTTCAGTATCACAAACAAAGTGTTGTTCGGAATGCCCCGTGTTAACCTTTCCGAGTGAGTGAGTTGGGTTTTACGTCTCTTGTAGCAATATTCCAGCAATATCACGACTAGTCCGAGTGAGTGAGTGAATATGGTTTTACGCCGCTTTTAGCCATATTCCAGCAATATCACGGCGGGGGACACCTGACATGGGCTTCACACATTGTACCCACGTGGGGAATAGAACCCAAATCTTCAGCGTGACGAACGGACGTACTTTAACCATTAGGCTACCCCACCGCACCTATGAGTGAATGAATGAATGAGTGAGTGAGTGAGTGAGTGAGTGGGGTGGGTTTAAAGCCTTTTTAAACAGTAATCCGGGGATAACACGAGTGTGGGGTTGATGTGGATAGTATACGTGTAAAACCTAGAGTAGTGCTTCAAAACCCAGAAACATAACAGGGGCGAAACGGGATTCTTATCTTCGATCATAATTCTCTTGCGAGCTCAAGGGACGCAACTCTGCACATCACTTGCGGCGCCTTAGACGAATGAATAACCCGTGCCCTCAACATCATCGAGGCTGTATGATTCTAAAACATATAATCAAACATTTATTCACCCTCTGACCCAGAGGCGCTCTCAGTGTGTAGCGGCAGAGTTGTACATCTGTGGGATTAACTTCGGGCGTGTACGAGAGTAGTGGCGAAGATTGCCGATCCTGTTCACTCACTACCCCGAGCACAACTCAGTCCCCGTGACTGCATATGCTGGACATAGCGGGACTGACTGTCAGGCTGTAACGACTCTGCAGAATGGTCACTTAGTCTGTCGCACAGTCCCTGAACCACATTATGTTCCCTACTGTCTAGCCCTCCCCACAAAGCTAAAGCTCTAAATGAAGCAAGTCTAGATTTCCTCAGGTTCAGAATTTCCCATCTCACCGGGGCTCCTTTTCTGTTTAAATGGGTTTAATTGCCACTATAAAATGATATATATTCAGAGACCCACTATTCTGGGTTTCCGCTGTGGTGCAGACAAAGGGTTCACCCAGGGGGTACACTTAACCCCAAAGTGACAGGCGAGTTCACATGTAAGGTGGGAGCGTCCCCCTGTGTCGAGGTGATGTGAATGACCCATTGACGCATGTACGGTTATAAGGTACCAGTACTACAAATCATATCTACCCCTTTATAATGTAGTTAGTCGACAGTACACTTTTATGGAATATATTTACCGCACTAATCTGTATATGAAAAAATTGACAAACTTTATGGATAACAACTTCTTTATTACGAATTCCTGCTTGACAACGCTACAAGAATCTGTCTCGAAACGTCGCACTCTCGTAATAAAGAGGTTGTTACCCATAAAGTGTGTCAATTTTGTACTTCCCAGCTTCTAAAATGCCACTCAAAGAAGTATTCTGTATATACCGGACAGTAACATTACTATAGGCAATATTTACCCTTTTAAACAATTTTCACCACTTTTGACAATATTTACCGTTTATTTACCAGACAGTGCTGGTGCTATACAGACTACCGTTACCACTGTTAGTTGTATTTGGCTGGCCGACCAGTAATTGAAGACTATATCCACCGTTTGAAACTGTAGTTACCCGACAGTACCAGTACTGTAGAATACTTGTACCGCTTTAAACAGGTTAAATCCGACAGTATCAGTACTATACACTATATTTGGCGTCTTAAACTGTATTCACATTGAAGTGCCGTAAAAATACTACAAGTACCACTGTTAGCTGTATTCACCTGACTGATCAGTAATTATAGACTTAATCCACCGTTTAAACCTGTATTTACCCGACAGTACCAGTACTGAAGACAATGTTTGTTGTCTTAAACAGTATTCACATTGAAGTGCCGTAAAAATACTACAAGTACCACTGTTACGCGACTGACCAGTAATTATACGCTTTATCCACCGTTTAAACCTGTATTTACCCGACAGTACCAGTACTGAAGACAATGTTTGTTGTCTTAAACTGTATTCACATTGAAGTGCCGTAAAAATACTACAAGTACCACTGTTACGCGACTGACCAGTAATTATACGCTTTATCCACCGTTTAAACCTGTATTTACCCGACAGTACCAGTACTGAAGACAATGTTTGTTGTCTTAAACTGTATTCACATTGAAGTGCCGTAAAAATACTACAAGTAGTACTGTTACGCGACTGACCAGTAATTATACACTTTATCTACCGTTCAATACTGTACTTTCCCTACAGTACCAGTACTATAGGCTATATTTACCGTTATAAAGTGTATTTGCCTGACAGTGCCACTATACTCCCTCACCACGCAGTGCAGACTACAGCAAACAGTGGGTCAGTTGTACGGAGTTTGACCAGCTTTCGGTAATCCTTGCCTGAGCACTAATGATTAGGGATTGCTTGAGAGTCGTTCTCCGCATCACAATGAAGACGAAGTCATATTATTAGCCATTGATAGGAGGTTCGCTTCATAATTTATGACATCCCTGTCACTTTACTTAGTTTCCTCACACACGCGGGGCTGTTATGTGTTCCCCCCTCTGCTAGATCGGCGCAGCTGATTGCAGTAGGCAGACAATCATCTCACAGTGACCGCTCGTCCCTGGGGTCTCCTGTACACAACTGTACAAAACGTCGGCTTCACTCCTCGTCTTCCACTGACTGTCTTCACCTCTCACCCGACATCTACCCGGAGTTGCTTGTATTCGGGTCTCATGTGGAGTTTGGTTAACTAGTGACTCTCGTCAAGAGAGATTGTATACGGCAGTGTTTCATTTGATAGAGATTGTGTGTCTGTGTTCGAATCCTCTGTTCTCGGAAGCCTGTTTGTTCAGTGACGAAAACATATCGTTTTAAAACAGAGCCTCTGCCTCGCTGTTACGTGAAGCCCCATACATATTTGATCAGCGTTCTATCTAGCTGGTAGGTGAGCATCGGAACCGCTCGCCAAACGCCGGCGCCCACCTGGCTCAGGTAGAAGCAGACGACATTCAACGCAGACGACACAATGCTGGGTTTGACACTTGTGGCCTCCAAGCTTTAGGACGCAGGTGACACGGGTTGATGACAGCAGCCCCACTGGGATACAATCAAGGATGGGTTGATAGTCAGATTAAAGCTCCTACCCGAGAAAACTCTTTACCGTCAGTTTAACAGCACTGACGTTGAAGTATTATTGATCTGGATTTGTGGAAAATTCAATATACTGGAAAGTTCGCCTATGGTGACATTTATCCGTATTTGGTAAGTATGTGTGTGTGTGTGTTGTACATACCAGTACACAAAATGGTCGTGCGCGTTCAGGTGTTCGATTCATGGATCTTATATGTGGTAAAAACACGGACGTTGTCATTCTTTCGAGGTGTTTTTTTAGACACCCCTTTCAGGTATTGGTGTAGAGCCATACTGGATTTTGTGTAGTGTTAAAGACGTATGGAAAATGGCAGATTGTCATCGACTAATACAAGCACAATCAGACTGTGGATCACACTTTTACCAGAACTGTCGCTCGGATATTTTTAGGACCAGTATGTATTTATAAACATATCTATAACAATGGTTTGTCTAAAGCCCTGCTATATTGATGAATGTTTAATCGAGTCAATTGTCTGTGTCAGTGTTGTGATGTTTCAATGATATAGCGGTCAGCGTGTCGTATATACAAATCGTCTACTGTCGCCTCCCGCAGATTTTGTCGTGCACGATGATGTTGCAGGGCTAGCAGATCTACTGCTGTATATGGTTTTCGACGTCACGGAAGCTGCTGACGGTTGCGTCACTTACAGTAATTAATTATTTACACCAAGCATCATATATAGTACAGCAAGATCACAACTTTTCCCCTGATGTATCTCGCTTGGAATTACAAAGCCTAAGATGAGGCCATATTGCATGTGAAATATTTATACTGTCAGCTTTTCCAAAACACAGCATTCGCAGCCACAAAGTACCTGGTCGAATAAGGTTTTAAAACATTTATGATTCACTAGTATATCTTTTATTATTGCATATCCTTTTTACTGAAGCTTTTGCTTAAAAAACTGTGCAGAAATACTGTTTTCGTGAAGTCAACTGTCTACTGACATTAGGACGCGACCATGTGATAAGACGTTATGTGACCTTGCTACCGGTATGATATGCACCCGTATATTTACACAACTGTACAAGAAATGATTACATAGCAACCCAGCTATATAAGGAGAGCAGCTGAGTCACAATTATGAAAGAAAACGTATTTTTCAGAAATGTTTGTTATGATTGGTAAGTAAACTTGGCAAACGTTCCACCATATATGTCAGATCATGCATGACTTTTGACGACTGTGGGTACACATGTCCTCTTATACCCGATGCACCCCCGGCAATATGGCGTCTCAAATAAGCCCCCGAGGACGCCCACGTTGACCCGGAAACCGGGTAAGAGGTATGTGTGGGACAATGCCCTGACCTACCCAGACGGGCCCCTTTCTACCTTACACACCCTTTGATTATTGTTATCAGGCGCTAGGTAATTGGGTAATCCAGCCCCTTGAACATACGTATGGGTAAAAGATGAAATAGCTGCATGGCCTGCGGAACGTTTGGCAGCAACATCTTCTGGTGTGGTCTCTCGATGAAAGATCTTAGAGAAACCTGTTCGCTGTAATTTGACACAGCTTTGTAAATCGACACGGGAGTAATGGTGCGTTTTTAGATTGATAACCATGTACGAAATGATTTTAACATTATATTTCCTATAGGACTTGTGTACCCTGTTGAGTTGTTAGTGCAACGTGTGCTTGTTACGTCGAAGATTTTGGTTTGGTTTCCTACATGGGTAGACTGTGTAGGCCTGTATATCCTCTATGTTCTTGCTTGTCATATACCTACATATATTTTGTAACACTTTTGGAAACGTGAACCCGAGTAATCTACGTAAAGTATGATCTGAGAAGGTGTCACATTTATACGTGTGTCTGTCCAGGTTCTGTGTACTAATGTTCTTGTGATTGACTGACTGCCTGCCTCAACCGCCATTCCATTCACTCACTCACTCGCTCACTTACTCACTCATCCGCTGACTGACTGACTGACTGACTTTCTTACCCTTTCACTCACGCACCCACTCACTTGCTGACTGACTGACTCACGGAATTACACACTCACTCACTCACTCGATGACTCACTCAATCACTCATCTGCTGACTGACTGACTGACTGACTGACGGACGGACGGACTCACTTACCCACTCAGCCACCCATCCGCTCACAGACTCTCAGACTGACTCACTTACCCATTCACTCACTCATCCGGTGACTGACTGACTGAATGACGGACTCACTTACCCACTCACTCACTCATCCGCTCACAGACTCTCAGACTGCCTGACTGACTCACTTACCCAGTGACCATACCGTTGACTGACTGACTCACTTACCCACTCACTCACTCACCCATCTGGTGACTGACTGACTCCCTTACCCACTCACTCACTCATCCGCTGACTGACTGACTCACTTACCCACTCACTCACCAATCTGGTGACTGACTGACTCCCTTACCCACTCACTCACTCATCCGCTGACTCACTCACCAATCTGGTGACTGACTGACTCCCTTACCCCTCACTCACTCACCACTCATCCGCTGACTGACTGACTCCACTCCTCACTACCCACTCACTCACCAATCTGGTGACTGACTGACTCCCTTACCCACTCACTCACTCATCCGCTGACAGACTGACTCACTTACCCACTCACTCACTCATTTGCTGACTGACAGACTGACTGACTCACTCATCTGCTGACTGACTGACTCACCCACTCACTCAGCAGCGACTGACTGACTCACCCACTCACTCAGTCATCTGCTGACTGACTCATCCGCTTACTGACTGACTGACTCACTCACTCACACACTTACCCACTCACCCATGTGCCGACTGACCGACTCACGTACCCACTCACTCACTCATCTGCTGACTGACTGACTGACTGACTCATTTACCAACTCACCACTCACTCAACCACTCAACCAATTCCCTAAAGGAAAAAACAACACTCACAGACACACCCTCAAGCTCACTCATTCGCTACCGGAAAGGTTTCACGGGCGCATGGGAAAATAACCACCAAATAATGTTACATGTAATTCAATCCTGAGTTCAAATCCCACTATTGACCGGAGATTTTTCTGTGCGAGGAAAGCTAGCAGGACATTATTGCCCATTGTTGTCTGAAATTGGACACAAATGAAGTACGGAGCTTGACGTATGAGTTATTTGTGGCTCTGGTTAAGACACAACCATCCCCTGGGTATCGCACAAGTGACGTCTCACACAAGACGAACAGATCCCTCCGAGCATGCGCTAACGTATCTCAGTAACCTAAATAATCCACTTTTCTGGACAAACTCAACAGTTTTCAATACTTACACCAAAAGGCAAATCTGAAGCGTTCTCTCCAAGGATCCGTGTGCTCATACCCTAAAACATAAAACGCTAATCGCCATTACCATGAGTAGAGCTCTGGATGTTCAGCGGATGTAAATCCGGGACTATAAAACTGTAATAAACCAGGTGAGATTCCTGTTTGTTATCGACAGTCACGACATGGCTTCTGTTACTCGGATGAAAGAAGATTCCATCATGCGAAGGAAATCGTTTGTCGAATTATTTATTTTGAAGATACTATGCCTTTTAACGTCATCTTATCTTAACTACATTTCCGTCTTATGTCGACTACGACCCGCTAGCATTTCGTTATTGAGGATGGTAAGTGCACTGTTGTGTTCGCAGCCCATCTGGGTTCAGAGTAGAGCTCGATTAGTCGTGGCGTTACCAAATGTATCACTTAACTTCCTCGTACAACCTACTAATGAAGCCTGAGGCAGTTCAGAGTTATGCCCTTGGATGCACCGGATACCTTTGATTGCGGTTCGAATCCCAGTTCGCCTGAATATGTTTCTGGGATTTGACATTGTCATCAACTACGCCGGTGCCAATGTTTATATTGTCGTCACTGACCATGTTGTCGTGGATTATTTGGTTTAAACAGTATCATCAGGGAATCCCTTGTTGTTGGTCACACTATCATCACCTATCACGCTGCTATTGACGACATCGTCATCACTGACCCCTTTGCTTATGTTAACACTGTAATCACTGACCAAATTGCTACTGACGACATTGCCATCACTGACCCATTGCTATTGACTAGTGAGTGAGTGAGTGAGTTTGGTTTTACGCCGCTTTTAGCAATATTCCAGCAATATCACAGCGGGGGACACCAGAAATGGGCTCAACACATTGTACCCATGTGGGGAATCAAACCCGGGTCTTCGGCGTCACCAGCGAACGCCTTAACCACTAGGCTACCCCACCGCCCCGACTAGTTAGTGAGTGAGTTTAGTTTTACGCCGCACTCAGCAATAGTCCAACTATATGTCTGTAAATAATCGGATCTGGACCAGACAATCCAGGGACCAACAGCATGAGCATCGATTTACGCAATTGGGATGCGATGATATGTGTCAACCCAGTCAGCGAGCCTGACCACTCGATCCCTTTAGTCGCCTCTTACGACAAGCGTGGGTTGTTGAAGATCAATTCTAACCCGGATCTTCACTGGTCTGCTATTGACTACATTGTCATCACTGACCCATTGCTATTGACTACATTGTCATCACTGACCCATTGCTGTTGACTACACTGTCATCACTGACCCATTGCTATTGACTACACTGTCACCACTGACCCATTGCTGTTGACTACACTGTCACCACTGACCCATTGCTATTGACTACATTGTCATCACTGACAGCGTTGCTATTGACTACATTGTCATCACTGACCAATTGCTATTAACTACACTGTCACCACTGACAGCGTTGCTATTGACTACATTGTCATCACTGACCCATTGCTATTGACTACATTGTCATCACTGACAGCGTTGCTATTGACTACATTGTCATCACTGACCCATTGCTATTGACTACACTGTCACCACTGACCCATTGCTATTGACTACATTGTCATCACTGACCCATTGATGTTGACTACACTGTCATCACTGACCCATTGCTATTGACTACATTGTCATCACTGACAGCGTTGCTATTGACTACACTGTCACCACTGACCCATTGCTATTGACTACATTGTCATCACTGACAGCGTTGCTATTGACTACATTGTCATCACTGACCCATTGCTATTGACTACATTGTCATCACTGACCCATTGCTGTTGACTACATTGTCATCACTGACCCATTGCTATTGACTACATTGTCATCACTGACCCATTGCTGTTGACTACATTGTCATCACTGACCCATTGCTATTGACTACACTGTCATCACTGACCCATTGCTGTTGACTACACTGTCATCACTGACCCATTGCTATTGACTACACTGTCACCACTGACCCATTGCTATTGACTACATTGTCATCACTGACCCATTGCTGTTGACTACACTGTCATCACTGACAGCGTTGCTATTGACTACACTGTCACCACTGACAGCGTTGCTATTGACTACATTGTCATCACTGACCCATTGCTATTGACTACATTGTCATCACTGACAGCGTTGCTATTGACTACACTGTCACCACTGACAGCGTTGCTATTGACTACATTGTCATCACTGACCCATTGCTATTGACTACATTGTCATCACTGACCCATTGCTGTTGACTACATTGTCATCACTGACCCATTGCTATTGACTACATTGTCATCACTGACCCATTGCTGTTGACTACATTGTCATCACTGACCCATTGCTATTGACTACACTGTCACCACTGACCCATTGCTATTGACTACATTGTCATCACTGACCCATTGCTGTTGACTACACTGTCATCACTGACAGCGTTGCTATTGACTACACTGTCACCACTGACAGCGTTGCTATTGACTACATTGTCATCACTGACCCATTGCTATTGACTACATTGTCATCACTGACACCGTTGGTATTGACTACATTGTCACCACTGACCCATTGCTACTGACTACATTGTCACCACTGACCCATTGCTATTGACTACACTGTCATCACTGACAGCGTTGCTATTTACTACACTGTCACCACTGACAGCGTTGCTATTGACTGCACTGTCATCACTGACCCATTGCTATTGTCTACACTGTCACCACTGACCCATTGCTATTGACTACATTGTCATCACTGACAGCGTTGCTATTGACTACATTGTCATCACTGACCCATTTCTATTGACTACATTGTCATCACTGACAGCGTTGCTATTGACTACATTGTCATCACTGACCCATTGCTATTGACTACATTGTCATCACTGACAGCGTTGCTATTGACTACATTGTCACCACTGACAGCGTTGCTATTGACTACATTGTCATCACTGTTTCTTTCTTTCATCACTGCCGTGTATTACCAATTTCTTCATTGTCCTTAAGGCCGATTTTTACCATTGTCTTCACTGTTGTCTTCACTGTTGTCTTGTCATGTATTACCATTGTCTTCACTGTTGTCTTGTCATGTATTATCATTGTCTTCACTGTTGTCTTGTCATGTATTATCATTGTCTTCACTGTTGTCTTGTCATGTATTACCATTGTCTTCACTGTTGTCTTGTCATGTATTATCATTGTCTTCACTGTTGTCTTGTCATGTATTACCATTGTCTTCACTGTTGTCTTGTCATGTATTACCATTGTCTTCACTGTTGTCTTGTCATGTATTACCATTGTCTTCACTGTTGTCTTGTCATGTATTACCATTGTCTTCACTGTTGTCTTGTCATGTATTACCATTGTCTTCACTGTTGTCTTGTCATGTATTATCATTGTCTTCACTGTTGTCTTGTCATGTATTACCATTGTCTTCACTGTTGTCTTGTCATGTATTACCATTGTCTTCACTGTTGTCTTGTCATGTATTATCATTGTCTTCACTGTTGTCTTGTCATGTATTACCATTGTCTTCACTGTGCCTGATGCTGTGTATCAGCATTGTCTGCGTCCCTCTAGTTTCTGCCCTCCAGTTTCATTATTGCTTGTACGAGTCCGCAATTTGTTATTCTCGTACTTGTACACTTATATACGTCTATGCTTGTCAGTACAAGTGTACCCGGCCTTTGTGTACTGAAGTTTTAACCCTCCGGTCGAGAATCCAGACACTGTAGAAGGGTGCCATCTGTGAGGCATTGTTTTTGTGCCATCATTAGCCGTTAGATTAGAGTTAGCAGATGTCAGCGTGGGATTTGCAATTGCTTGAATTGCCTTTTGGCAAAGTCAACCTTTAAAATCATGTACACACACTGCCAAGTGTTCTGTCGGGCACTGCTGCCAATAAACGCCGAATGACGATATGCTAGATGTCCCGTGTTCCTCGGTGGAACCAGCTATCGTATTAGCCCTCCGAATGTCAGAATACACAGTGTTTAGTTGGAAAGAGAACATCAACTCCAGGCGGGTTGGTGCCTCGCTGGATACCTGCAATCCGATTGTCTGATGAGAATGTATTCACGATCGGTAATGTATTGATATGTTGTTACACCATTTTGAAGGACCGAAATAAACCTCATTAAACGATGGGAATACATGTAATTACCATATTGATGTTTTTGTGCGCCGGTAATTAAAGGTAACTGACACCATTTTCAACATATGTTTCTTCCCTGTCTCAAGCCTTTGAAAAAATTAAAGTGCAGAGGTTGATGCTAAAAGACGAACGAACATTAAACACTCGCCTCGTGTTATTGTTCCTGTGTTGATATATTTGAAAAGAAATACCCCCACCCACCTCCCACCCCAATATTGAACGGTTGGTTCTTTGCTTCCTGTGAGTACCACGACCACCATATATGGAAATGTGTATGATGCCATTGTCTCACTTTCAAAACGTTGTATTGTCCCACTGTGTCATTTCTGAATGTTGTATTGTCCCTTGCTTCACTTCAAAGGTGTTGTATTGTCACATTGCCTCGCTTTCAAAATGTTGTATTGTCCCATTGTCTAACTTCAAAAGGTGTATTGTCCCATTGTCTCACTTTCAAAATGTTGTATTGTCCCACTGTCTAATTTAAAAATGCTGTATCGTTCCTTTGTCTGAACATTGGGGTTGTATTGTCATTGAGTCTTGAGGACCCTCTTGTAATGTACAATCGTCTCGACGTTGGGAGATCGGGTTGTCTGAATAAACTGCCGGACTTAAACTGCCCATTGTCATAACCGTGTTGTATTTCACCATAGTTTTAACTGTCGTGTTGTATGGTCCAATTGTCTTAACTGTATTGGACTGCCCATTGTCATAACTCGCACTGTACTGCCCCATTGTCTTATAACTAGTGTTTTGTTTGCCCATGGTTTTAACTGTCGTGTTGCATTGTCCCACTGTCCAACGGTATTGGACTACCCATTGTCATAACTCGCATTGTACTGCCCCATTGTCTTATAACTAGTGTTTTGTTTCCCCATGGTTTTAACTGTCGTGTTGCACTGTCCAACTGTCCAACGGTATTGGACTGCCCATTGTCGCATGGTACTAAACTACCGTATTGGATTGCCCCAAGGTTTTAACTGGCCATCTGTATTGTCACATTGTCATAACGCTGGTGTTGTACTGTTCCATGGTTTTAACTGTCGTGTTGTACTGTCCCATTGCCTTAATCACCGTGTTGTATTCTACTATTGTTTTAGCTGTCGTTTTGTTTTGTTCCGTTGTTTTAACCCTTGGGTCAGTTACTTGCCACGACCGCCTGCATTATTCACGTCAAGGCAATATGAGTGTCACCCTGCACACAATTCCTGGAGAATCCCCCTGAATTTATTATATCGACATTTCCAGTCAATACCCAAGGAAGAAGAGTCCATCACGTCTTCAGAAAATTATCCCTTTTGGTTACGTGATTGCCGTGTAATTATATTTCATTGATTTTCTTTTCAGGGCCCGTCACGATCTGATGATTACGGACACGGAAAGAGTAAAATACATTAGGATCATGATGAGTGTGGAAGTCAGTTATATAACATGGTGATCCTATGAATAGTTGCTCCCCTGACCACGAAGACCGGCGGATGATGATAGATGGACACACCAACACTTGGGTAGGTTTGGGAGTGTACGTCATCCTGACCTATCTCTGTTTTGATACGGTGACGTGCGTAACGCCACAATTCAGCGCACGCATCGAGGGCGACGTCATCCTCGGTGCGTTGTTCTCCATCCACCACAAACCTCCATCCGCTACGGCCTACTCTCGTACCTGTGGGAAGATACGTGAACACTATGGCATCCAGAGGGTTGAGACCGTCCTCATGACACTGGATGAGATCAACGACAATGACAACATACTTCCGGGCGTCATTCTGGGCTGTGACATCCGGGACTCCTGTTGGTATTCCGCCATTGCTCTGGAACAGAGCATCGACTTCATCAAGGACGCCATTGCCAGCAAGACAGAGCCGAATGGGACGTCAAACGGTGGCAACCAGTCCAGTGAGTGTAAAGATGGAAACCTGCAACCTATTGCCGGCCTCATAGGGCCTGGGTCAAGTGAAGCGAGTATACAAGTTCAGAATCTGCTTCAAATTTTCAACATTCCCCAGATAGGCTACTCCGCTACAAGTATGGACCTGAGCAACAAGCTGCATAAGTATTTTCTCCGAGTTGTCCCTCCTGACAACTACCAGGCTCAGGCACTGGTGGATATTGTACTTCACTTTAACTGGACTTATATCTCAACTATAAATTCAGATGGTGAGTTAACTCTATGTCATGCGTCTTATAAATTAGATAGTTGTATAATGGTAATACGATATGTTCTTCTGGAATTGCCACTGCTTGAGGCATTAATGAAAGTGAGTTTTAGTGAGTGAGTTTAGATTTACGTTGCATTTAGTAATATTCCAGCAATATCACGTCTGGGGACACCGGAAATGAGCTTCACACATTGCACTCATGTGGGCTAGGCTACCCCATCTCCCCCTAAAACTGAAGAATATCACTGAGAGAATCATCGTAGTGTCAAATCAAGATGGGTGACGTTAGATTTATCTTCCTGTTTTAGGGAACTACGGAGTGCGGGGCATGCAGGCATTCAAGGCTAAGGCGGAAGAGAGGGGTATCTGTATCGCCACAACCAACAGTGTGTCCAGCTCTGGAACAGACGAAGAGTTCGACAAGGTTATTCAAAACCTGAAGAGCAGACCCAACGCTTCTGTAGTGGTCTGCTTTTGTGAGGGGTTGACGATCAAGGCGCTGCTCAAGGCGATGGAGAGGAATGATGTGGAAGGGAAGTTCCTCTTCATAGGCAGGTTGGTCGCCTTCTGAAATCATTCCAGTGAAACTCCCAGTAAAACTCCCTATCTAGGATCCTGTAATACAACCGTCAGTAGATCCGTAACGAGCGGCCAGCAGACCATATAAAGTTTATCATCCATTGCCAGTCAGTGTCACTTAACTATATACAGAATAGTCAGGGGTCTTGTTAGTAAAACAGAAACTAGATTTGCGCTGCAAACATATTGGATTCCTTTGAAAACCTACGTTCCGGTCACAGTTGGCTAGTTGTCTAATGGACCGTGTCAGGTACTGGTTGTAAACAGGACTGAACCAGGGGAGGGGGTATTAGGTTATTTGATTTTCACATGCGTTAGTGGGCATGTGGGTGAGAGTGTGGAAAACGGAATAAAAGGGGCAAGGACGGGGTTGAAATGAGGTATGATGGGGTTAGATGAAATTGGTGATGGGCTATGATGGGGTCAGATGAAGTTGGTGATGGGCTATGATGAGGTTAGATGAAGTTGGTGATGGGCTATGATGGGGTTAGATGAAGTTGGTGATGGGCTATGATGGGATTAGATGACATTAGGGATGGGCTATGATGGGGTTAGATGAAGTTGGTGATGGGCTATGATGGGGTTAGATGAAATTAGGGATGGGCTATGATGGGGTTCGATGAAGTTGGTGATGGGCTATGATGGGGTTAGATGAAGTTGGTGATGGGCTATGATGGAGTTAGATGAAGTTGGTGATGGGCTATGATGGGGTTAGATGAAATTAGGGATGGGCTAGGATGGGGTTAGATGAAATTGGGATGGGCTATGATGGGGTTAGATGAAGTTGGTGATGGGCTATGATGGGGTTAGATGAAGTTGGTGATGGCTATGATGGGGTTAGATATGATGGTTAGATGAAGTTGATGAAGTTGGTGATGGCCATGGATAGAAGTTGGTGATGGCCATGATGGGGTTAGATGAAGCTGATGATGGCCATGATGGGGTTAGATAGAAATTTGGAGGGATGGGCTATGATGGGGTTTAGATGAAGCTGTGGTGATGGGCCATGATGGGGTTAGATGAAGTTGGTGATGGAAGCTATGATGGGTTAGTTCGATGAAGATGAAGTGGTGATGGGCTATGGGATGGGGGATTAGATGAAGTTGAGTTGGTGATGGGCTATGATGGGGTTAGATGAAATTAGGGATGGGCTGAGTTGGTGATGGTGCTATGGGATGGGGTTAGATGAAGTTGGTGATGGGCTATGATGGGGTTAGATGAAATTAGGGATGGGCTATGATGAAGTTGGTGATGGGCTATGATGGGATGGGGTTAGAAATGATGGGCTTGATGGGGTTGATGAAGTTGGTGATGGGCTATGATGGGGTTAGATGAAAGTTGGTGATGGGCTATGATGGGGTTAGATGAAGTTGGTGATGGGCTATTAGATGGGGTTAGATGAAGTTGGTGATGGGGGTTAGATGAAGTTGGTGATGGGCTATGATGGGGTTAGATGATGAAGTTGGTGATGGGCTATGATGGCTATGGATGGGGTTAGATGAAGTTGGTGATGGGCTATGATGGGGTTAGATGAAGTTGGTGATGGGCTATGATGGGGTTAGATGAAATTAGGTGATGGGCTATGATGGGGTTCGATGAAGTTGGTGATGGCTATGATGGGGTTCGATGAAGTTGGTGATGGGCTAGTATTGTGTTGGATGAAGTAGGTATGGGATAGGTTTGGATAGAATATGATATACTGAATATGAAATATAAGAAAGGATTCTTCTGTTGCAAGGAGCCGATAGCTACAAATAATACGTCCCTTCTCTGTGTTTGGTAGTGATGGTTGGGGTAGTCGTGGTGATGTCGTGGAGGGTGTCGAGAAACTGGCGGCGGGAGGGATTTCCGTCAGGCTGTACTCGCCTCCTATCCCTCGCTTTGACGACCACTACGGTAAACTGAGACACGACAACAACACCCGTAACCCGTGGTTCCAGGAATTCTGGCAGGAGCGGTTCAACTGTTACCTCCCTGGCGACGACAGTGTCCCCCGGAAAAGCACTCCCTGCACAGGTAGGCTCACATTTAGTCTCATTCAGATATCTTATTTAGAGTTATTTTGGACATAACCTTACATCATTCCTTCCAAGGTAATAACATTAAATTTTCTACAAATTTAAAGAGGCAATTCCACGGGAGAAGTGATGTGGATTGACCATCGTGCTTAACGGACGTGAAAGAATGATGTTACCAAGAATACTTTAGATTAACGGGGAGGTAATTTAAACAGCGTCATGACGCGTCATTCCATTATGACGTTACTCATAAATACAGTTGACACCAGCGAAGTATCCTAGACTTAAAGATACATAGCAACAAAATATAAAGGAATATCTTAATGGAACACAGGACAATGCTTCATGTCTGGAACTGAGGTAATCTGGATTTGCCAAATCGTTCGTTACTTACATTAGATTCATATTTAATTATTGACTCTGGGAGATTTAGAACATTTGATGGGACTGATGCTTAAAAACATATGTCACATGTCACAATCAGTGTTCAGGACAACATCGACATGGGGCCAGATAACATTTCGGACTTTGTATTATGAAACGTTTGTGGAGTATGTTAAGTAAATCGAAATAATATTCAATCGGGTGACCGATACATTTCCAACACTCTGTTGAGTTCCTATGCAGTTGTATGCGCATATACACCAAGCATACTGTCAAGTCAACTGTATACAATAGCGTGGGTAGCAAAGTCCCGGTATCATAAATGCATATCAATATTCACAACAGAAACATTACCAGCAGTATATAACGGGTCCCCGACTAACGGCTTTTCACAATCTTCACTCGGATCCTATGCTCGTGTTGTAGAATCCAAAATCCGATAATATTCCTTGGGACCCGTTAAGGTCCGGGTTAAAATTGATCTTCAGTAACCCATGCTTGTCGTAAGAGGCTGTGGACTATAACAAATGCATTTTACAGCCCTTTCTGAACTACACACCCGTTAAGACCCGGGTTAGAATTGATCTTCAGTAACCCATGCTTGTCGTAAGAGGCTTATAACAAATCCATTTTACAGCCCTGAAGGTCCGGGTTAAAATAATGCTCTTTAGTAACCCATGCTTCAGTAACCCACGGGATCGGGTGGTCAGGCTCGCTGACTTGGTTGGCACATGTCATCGGTTCCAAATTGCGCTGATCGATGTTCATGCTGTTGATCACTGGATTGTCTGGTCCAGATTCGATTATTTACAGACCGCCGCCATATCGCTGGAATATTGCTGAGTGCGGCGTAAAACTAAACTCACTCACTCACTTATATTCTTTGAGTTATCCTGATCGTATTTCACCAAAGACGAGACTCGCTTCGGTCTCTCCTACATAAACTGACGCCTCATAAAACAACCACACCATTTGTTTAAACGACGCCTTTTAAGCCCAACTCACGTATTCGTTCACATGGGTACGTTTGAAGCATGTAGTATCCTAGCCACCATGTTAACGCATGACCAGAAGATATCGATAGTTGTAATTCAAGTTTCAAGCAGGTAAACCACACAGATCAATTTTAGGATCGTCACGGTTTCTTTTATCTCTAAATGTTGTGGGACTGAACATAAACATCCGCCTCCATGTTGACGACACGTCAATATACATACCGTGAAGAGCATGCCTATAAAATGACGTGGATCGAGACTAAGACAGAAGCATATGCCTTGTAGGCGCAGTTGGATTCCGAAACAAAAACTGGTTTGTGAAAGCGCTGACATGACCGCTACATGAAAGATGTCACCACAGTCTTTCATAAGCAAACGGTTCATCGCACACATATGCAGGATCGGCAGAATACAGGCTTCTTTTGTGTTGCAATGCCTTGTAAAACTCATGAATGATGTACAAGTCATTAATGCTGCCATTTGATCCCTGGAGTCATGGTTGAGATCAGTTTAGGAAAGAATAGGCTAACACACTTGAAAACTACATGCATGTTGGATGGAAACTGAATGCGTGTTACTTAACGGTGAAAATCATGTGACGACAAGGTCAAAATTAAAAACCAAGTTACTCTGTCAATCAATCAATATTCATTGATAGCACTGAGGAGGCCGTAGGTTAATATTATCAAATATCAAGTTACACCTGCCCTTGAAGATCCGGGTTATAATTGGTCTCTGGCAACACATGCTTGTCGTGAAAGGCCAGTGACGGGATCGGGTGGCCAGGCTCGCTGACTTAGCTGATGCCTGCCATCGTATCCCTATTGCATTATCTGGCGTCCATAGTGTCAATCACTGGAGTATCTGGCGTAGATTATTGTTTACAGACCACCGTAACATAGCTTTATCATATCTGATTACGGCGTTAAGCAAGCAAACAAACAAACACACGAGGGTATCCTTGAGACAGACTAAGGAAAACCATTGAAATTTGACAATATCTTAAATTTCAGAGCAGGAAAACTGACTGATTTGTTTGTGGTTTCACTGCATAATGTTGGCGATAACAAGTAGTGAGTGAGTGAGTATGATTGTATGCAGCAATATTCCAGCAATATCACGGCGGGGTACACCAGAAATTGGCTTTACACTTTTGCCCATATGGGGAATCGAACCCGGGTCTTCGGCGTCACGAGCGGACGCTTTAACCATCAGGCTAAACCACTTCAGTATCTAGTGTGACCACCACGAGCGGCAATAACTGCAGCACAGCTTCTGTGCATGGAGTGCAACAATCGATTGATGAAGGCCATTAGCACCTGGAACCACACTCTGAGAAAGGCCTGGCGCAATAAATCGGCTGTGTTCGGCCTTGGTATGACATTATTCAGTCTCCTCTGAATTTCATCCCAAAGATGTTCAATTGGGTTTAAATCAGGACTAAGGGCTGGCCACTGCATAATGTTGACACCGTTCTGCTGTAGGAAGTCCCGTGTAGCTCTGGCAGTATGGGCCCAGGCGTTATCATGCTGGAAAATGTTGTTCCGGTGACGTGCGAAATGTGGTATGACGTGGAGTCTGAGAGTTTGGTCGATGTAGCGCACCGCTGTGATGCCGCCTCCTCTCCCTGGACCAAGGTTCTGGAACACCACAGGACCCACTCTCTGGTTCAGGCCTATTCCACCCCATACCATGATGCTTGCACCTCCCCATGAGTCTCTTTCCATAACACATTGGCCTGAGTAACGCTGGTCACGTCGTCGCCATGTTCTTGTTCTACTATCTGCAGTTGATACGCAGTACCGACTCTCACCTGTGAACAAAACAGTTCTCCATTGCCTGTATCGCCAGTTTTGGTTTTGTAGGGCAAACTGTAGACTTTCACGCCGATGACGTCGGCCTACTGTATCAGTACTGATTGGTCTTCCGTGTGTTCCCACTGTGTGGCGTGCTGTTTCGGATGCCTGCATGAAGGGATCCTGTACATACTGTCGCACAACATGGCGGTCTTGTCGTCTTGTGGTCACCCTTGGTCTGCCAGTACGGGGGCGATCATTTGTGGTGTTGGTGGCCCGGAAACGTTGCTGCAGCCTGTAGATGGTTGGAAGTGATTGGCAACAGCTTGTGCAGTGTGGCCAGCTTCAAGTCTTCCTAGCACCTGGTTCCTCTGAGCTGTCGTGAGTCGCAGCATCCTGCTGACGTTGTAATGTGAATGTTTCAACCAGGTTTGGGGGCGCATTTTATAGGGCTGCTGCTTGTGAACAGCACGTGCAGCATGAGTTGCATGAAAAACATGGAGAACACCGTACCATCTCCGAGATCAGGTTGCGTTTTTGAGGCCATTTCCTGGGTTCAATTCTGAGGTTGGAAAGGAATGTCTTTGCTCAGGTTAAGTTGGAGATGATGTCAAAAAATATACAATCAAAGCATTAGTGAGTTTACAGTTATCCGTTTCTGCGAAGGAAAATTCCAAACTGACGTTTCTTTTGCTGCTTAGTATATGAACGGTGGCGATTGGGTAGCCGAGTGGGTTTACCGTTGGTTAATAGCGTTCGAGTCTCCTTATAAAGGCCATGCATGAAACCCTGTTTTGGTGGCTTTGTCACCATCATTTGTCCGGAATGTTTAGAGCATAATCAGGTCTCAGGTATCTGATCACACGAATTCCGTTTCGCTTAAAAGGTGCGTTTTTCGTAGGAAATGCAAAGAAAGGTGAAAAAGCACGTGTCGCTTGGGCAGTAACACGTGAAATCATGGTATATAGTGTGCGTGAGTTGAGTTTTACGCCGCACTCAGCAATATTCCAGCTATATGGCGGCGGTCTGTAAATAATCGAGTCTGACCTAGAGAATCCAGTGATCAACAGTATGAGCATCGATCTGCGCAATTGGGAACCGATGACACGTGTCAATTAAGTCAGCGAGCCTGACCACCCCATCCCGTTAGTCGTCTCTTACAACAAGCATGGGTTACTGAAGATCAATATTCTAACCCGGACCTTCACGGGTATACGACAAGCATGGATTACTGAAGGTCAATTCTAACCCGGATCTTCATGGGTTCATGGTATATAAATGATACGGACACGATAATGACACGTGGGAGACACTCACGCTAAAACAAAACCCCACAAGTACCACGGCTTGCACCCGAACAATGCAAGCAGGCTCTGGGTATGATACAGATGGGAGTCATCCATGCCCTCATTGATGGAACTTTTGGTTTTGCCCAACTAACGGGTGGCTAACCCGATGCAACGTTTCAGACAGACCGGACAGACATCATACAGGCAGATCCAGGGTAACTTCGTCCAACGAAGACCAATACTTGCGTACTATCATCTCAGTAATTGATTCCTGATAATGGCGTAATCAGTAACGAATGTCTTGAGGCATATAATTAGTCGACAGACAGTGGCTAGGAGACTCAGGGCTCAAGGAGTTAGGACTTAAAGGCCTTACAGATGACAGTTTCTGACATTGTACGCAGATATTGCCCGGACTGTACATCATTGGCAGCGACGCGACTGTCAGAAGGCCATGTTCTCTCTGTTGATGGAAGACAGCGTATTTACCCCCGAAGGGGATTACGAACGATCTTCTTACGGCGGTATGTTGCG